GGATGCCCCCCCCAACGCGCGCGCCCCCCGGCCCTCCGCCCCAGGTCCCGCTTGGCCGCCGAGAGGCTCACCTGCGGCTTCCCCACCCACCCCTTCTCCCCCCCCCCGCCGAGCCCCTGCTTGCTTGCCTGCCGCAAAGAGCCGTTGCAGGAAGTGCAGTTCTGGTCAAGATGGACTGGTGCGTCTTGGGGACGCAGAGAAGGACGGGGGGGCTGCATTAGGTCCTGACAGATCTCTTAAAGATGCACCTCTAAGCCCCTTTGCATTCTCTGGCAGCAAAGCCGTGTTTACCACTGACTGTAGCTGGAAGGGAGCTGCAGTCAGGCACACCGGATTCCTGGTGAACGTCCCTGCATTCTTCAACCAAAGCAAGTCCTCCCCGCCATTCCCCAGTGAGCTCATCTGCCAAATCTCTGCCAATTCTTACTCCTTTTGGGGCACCTTGACAGGCCTTCCCCAGTGTGGGGTCTCTATATAAGCTGGTCTTCGGTGCCCATAAATTGGCACTGCTGAGTGGGCCTTATCTGAGTTGAAAACATCCATCACATGTGGAGAGTTAGCAGGTTGGCAAAAGCTCATGCAGTGTGATCTGTTACAAGGGGGTGGGGGTGGGCAGGGGAGTCTGCTGTAGACCAAAGGCCTGCTTCCCAGGGCGGTGAACTGTGCTAGGGGAAGACATATTTGCAACAGTTTCATGTCGTGTGAATCTGCATGAACACACACGTGCATTCCATTTTGTATACTTGCAACAATCTCCAGAGAAGACTTTTCCTTCCTAAACCAGCAATCTGTGCACTGAGTCTTCTCTGGTTTTAAAAGCAGCTTGGTGCTTTTTACAAAGACTGTGCTGTTATCTGTAGATCCATTATTGTGACCCTTGATTTAGGTCTCCTGATCGTATACTGTATGTGCTGACCTTTTAAAATGCATATCTGGTCATTTATAGCTTTCGATGGGATACATTGCCTGAGGCTGGTGTGCCTATGGCACTTTAGCATTATCGAATGACTGAATGGCTGTGTGCAATCCTATGAAGTGCACGGTTAACATTTTAGGAAGTCACATCCTTCTCATAAGTTTGCTTACGACACAGAATGATTGCTTAGCAAATTAAATTAAGCAAAGCTCCTATAATGTTCACTGCAGTAAGTACAGTTATAAGGAAAAAGAGAGAGAGAGAAAGGGGAGGGGGGACAGAGGAAGAGAGCCCTTATGGTAACCAGCATGAGAGGGAGTTATAATTAAGTTTGACTCACTTCTTTTTAAATTTTATTGGGGGTGGCAGAAAAATAGAACAACATCCATTCTGGAATCAGAAGGGATCATAAAGGCGTCATTCTTTGTGCCTTAATTAAAAAAAAAATCCCTAAGTCACCAGGCTAGGAACTGGGAGACCATGAATTCTAGTCCTGCCTTAGGCACAAAGCCAGCAGGTGACTCTCTCAGGCCTAGGAAGAAGAAGGCAAGGGCAAACCACTTCTGAAATCTTGCCAAGAAAAGCTGCAGGGACTTGTCCAGGCAGTGGCCAGGAGCCAACTCTGACTTGAAGACAGTAAAAAAAATTTAAAAAATAAAATAAATAAATAAATAAATAAATAATAATAATAATAATCAGTAGCTTTTACCTTTAATCGGTGAGGTGATTCTAATCATTTGATGCAAGCTCAACTCTTTTTTTCTGAAATACAGATTTCGTTCTAAGAGCAGCGACTTGCCGTTTCAATCCACTATGCCCATTTCCCATGGTAGAATCCATAGTTTTCATGCGTACGCATAAATACAATCAGTTTACAAAGCTTTCTTGAGAAAGAAAACCAGTATCCAGGGGTCTGGCCATAATCCAAGGGTGACGAAGCAAAGATGAATCTAGAGCCTAGTCCTCATGGAGGGAGCTATATCAATCCAGTCATGGGAGGTATGTGATATGACTGAATGTTTCTGCATACAGACACTTGGGTTAAGGAAAGGAAATGTGATGGGGATGTTAGGAAATTCAGTGCTAATCCTTCTCTGCAATTTGCTAATTATCTCTGAGTTGCAGCTCTTCTTAAAACAGGTATGTGGGTGAAGGAGTGGCCCCAGCACATTCTAAAAATGAAGCAGGCTAGACACAGCTTTTCCCTTGAGGGAAAGTCAGGCATAAAATGGGTGTGTGCTGTCAGTTTGGGGAAGGCAAATGCATTGAAAAAGAATGACAGCGAGTCTGATGTTCTAATTCAGATTTCCCCATACATGGTTCCTTTCAGGGGTTGCCCTCGTCAGCAAGAGGTGATGGTAGTTGCAATTCAGGGCCCAGAAAACTTCTGGCTAAGGATTGATTGATTGATTGATTGATTGATTACATGCCATCAAGTCATTGTCGACTCTTAGTGACCACACAAATAGATTTTCTCCATGATGATCTGTCCTTAGCTGGCCCTTCAGGTCTTCCGGTGGTGACCCATCACCTCCGTAACTGACTCCATCCACCTTGCTGCTGGTCATCCTCTTCTTCTCTTTCCTTCCACCTTTCCCAGCATTAGAGCCTTTTCCAGAGAGCTGGGTCTTCACATAATGTGTGCAAAGTAGGATAATTTGAGCCTGGTCATTTGTGCCCCAACTCTGGGTTGACTTATTCAGTGATCCATTATTTGTTTTCTTGGCTGTCCACAGTATTCTCAGGAGTCTTCTCCAACACCAAAGTTCAAAAGCATCAATACTCTTCCTATCTTGCTTCTTCACTGGCAAAGGAAGGGTGATGTAATTTAAGGTTTCTGAAGGAGAAACATCAGGAAAATTAGAGAGCCAACTACTTGTGAATTAAACAACAAGCCTGGTATGCTGATAGAATCAGTGCAGAGGAAAGAAGACTAACACCAATTCCCTGTCTTCTCCTGAGATTGGAAAGCCTGATGGGAGCTTGGTGAAAACTGAATGCTGGTTGTACACTGCTAATCTAGGAAAGTTTTTAGACTAGCCATTCATCAAATGGATTCTTTTCCATTGTGGATAGTCTGTGTGTGAATTTTAAAAGTCAAGTGGTGGTCCCACCTCCATCCTTATTTCTGTCTTGCTGGTGTTACCAGCAGGATCTGTTGACGTGTTCTCTCTAGGAAGACTTTATTACAGGGATCATCCAGCTTTAACACTGGGAGGCCCATTTTGGAATTTGGAGGGGCATACTTTGGGTGCTTTCACAAGATGTCTGCCGCGGTGGGAGTCAGCACTAAGCCAGAATGATTTACCCAAAGAAAGAGTCTCTTGCCCCAGAACCTAACTACAGGTTGGAGGCAAGGTCTGAGTCTCGCATGCTAAATCACACATTTGCATCTCCAAAGCTCAACAGAATAGAGGTTTGAAGGCAAACTGGAGATGCTTAGAGGAAGTTACACAGATATACAAGTGAAACACACCACGCATTCCTACAAAGGCCAGGAACCCCACCCGAAGACCCCTGTACCCCCAAAACCAGTGGAATTCAGAGGCTTTCTTAGAAATGAAGTGAATGGTGAAGGCTGGCAAGCTTCCATTCATTCCTTATTTTAAATTTGGCCACAATTCATTAAAAAAAATATGTCCAATGGGGCAGAGAGCCTGATTGGTGGTCTCTGGACCCCATATGGGGGGTGCTCCAGTTCTCTCACTCATCAGAAGTGAGAAGTTGAATCTCTTCATTTCTTGGTCACATGTAGAGATGGAGGAGCCCTGGCAGAAAAAAATATGGCAACTGAGGCCAAGGCTATACAGAGCCCATTTTGAGATCGCAGCCTCCTGTTGCAACAGAGAAGGGGACATAAAGGAGTTGGGCTACAACAGAAGTGGGAAATGGAGTCCTTGGGGTTCTCTCAGCTCAGTTGTTTTCTTGCAGATGTTTTGTTACCCGGCACGGTAACATCTTCAGTGCTAGAAGGGAGTGGGGTTTGCTGTCTATTTATATACAGATATATCTGTATTTAGAATGGTATATAATACAGTAGAATTGTATATAAACAGACAATTTATAACAAACCCCGCTCCCTTCTAGCACTGAAGATGTTACCTAGCCAGGTAATGAAATGTTTGCAAGAAAACAACCGAGCTCAGTGAACCCCAAGGACTCCACAGTTCAACCCTGAACTACACATATTCGCTTCTAGAAGTGAGAAGGTCAGCCAGTGGTTGTGGCACAGAACTTAAATTCCTGTCTTTCCCTCCCATGTGACACAGATTAACTCCCGCAAGATACTTGGAGAACAGCTTGGTTATGCCACAGGCAGATTTGGCTGTGGGAGGCTGACCATCCTTTCTGATGAAATCTTTTTGATACGAACATGAGAAGCTGCCTTGTGCTGAATCTGACCATGGGATTCAGTTGCTTGGGACTGGTTAGCCATCCAAGGTCTCCAAGAACAATCCCAGGGTTGTCCCATCTTGTTACCATTTGCAATTCTGTTTTACGCAGGGGAAGCCAAGAGTGAGGCTCGGTTCTTTTACACACAAAGTACATCTTCTAGCCCCAAGCTGGCCTCCCTCTTCTTTCCGCTTTGACTTCCTCACTGAGGGCTTGCTAAATGTTAATTTAACAGTGCAATTAGCAGCCCTCCCTTAAACACTTAATTAGAAGCACTTTTCTGGATAGCAATGGGGAGCAATTATATTAGACAGGTTGGGGTTACTTTCTGCCTTCAATCCATACCCCTAACCATTGCCACCAGGAAGCCCCACTATCTAGGGAGAGTAGACAGCTGGTGATAGTGGTAGAGCAATGACTACAGACAAGCTGAAGGATAATTTTGTTTATTACCAGCCTGGTTAAAAAAAATTGGGGAGGAGGTCATTGGGTAGAGTGGTGGAATAACCAGGATGAGATCCAGGGGCCACCAGAAGGGATTTTGTCCAAGGTGATGTAGTTCTGCCCAGCAATGGGTGTGTGTGTGGAATTCCTCATCGGTACAAATTGCAGAGAGGATGCTTTTGATGGGATCTGAGTTGGGGTTGCTGGGAATTGTGAGTTATGGTTACCCAACTTTCCATGGGTGCTATTTTCCTGGGATCCCTTTCCCTGCCAGTAATTAAATTTAAAATCCCCCTGACATGGCTTCTTGCTGCAGAGTTAAAATAAAGTCTGAGTTGTCTCCACAGTCCCTGTCCCAGAACACTTAACATGGCTGCAGAAGCTTCTGACCGAATCCCATCATTTTTAGGATTAACAAACCAGTGGGATCTGGTTCTTTTCCCATGTTGAATGAAGGATGTTCTCCCCACTGCGGCTCCTACCTCTTATACTTCATATTGAGAAGTAAACAGAGGGCATATATGTTCGTTTTTCTCCCTGAAGTTTCTTTGGCTATTTATGATCTCTCTGAGGGCCTGATAAGTCATTGGGTGAGGGAATATTCCCTCTGAAGGAGGCCAGGATTGTACCAACCTCTGCCCTGACTGTGGTGGTCCGCCAATAAGCTTCTTCTCGAAACAGAAGGATGTTTGACTGCAAAATGAATAGGGAAGGGAAAAGGCAACTGTGTGTGTGTGTGTGTGGCAGGGGAGTCAGCTATTTCCCACAAACAAATATATCCCATTGTGACGACTTAGTTGGTTTACAACAGGGTGCCTTCAAGGAAAGCATTGTGTGTCCTGGGAGCCAATTAGTCTCAGAAGCCTGTTTGGAGAACTAGCTGATGCCCTACTATGCTCGTCGTCTTAGCTGCGCATGGCTTTTCCTGATGATACATGACAACACGTGGGGGTGCTTTGGTGTTAGAAGGAGGCCCAGGAGAGCATCATTGTTCTGAGGTGGCAAAACATCAAGCAGCAAATTAATATTTCATCCACATTCCCATGGGACCTCAGTGAGACAGATATAAATAGGCATATTGGCTTAGGAAATGTATACAGTAGCATCCTTTCCCATTCTGGTTAACTGGACTAAAGCACCCATCATCCCCAGGCTGCACCTTACATCACTGTTGGCCTAGCTTGGTAGAAGAATGCACAGGGATCACAGTAGGCCTCCTTCATATAACCAGTTTACTAAATTAACTCATTTCGTGGATTTGTAGAATATCCTGAACCCTACATTAGCCAGCAAGCTGAATGACAACAACAAAATCCTTGCATAATACTAAGCTAGGTTAATGCTAATCAGGCTTAGCATGTTGTATGAATAGAGCTGCCAGGTTTTTATTGACCCGGTTGTAGGAACACGCCACCCAGTAACTAGGAGGGAAGGGTTATCTAGGAGAGTTATAGAGCATGTTGGGTGGTAAGAAATATTTCAGTGATATGACTCAGGAGAGAGATTTGTTGCTATTTCTGTAGCATGTTTTCAGTGGTCAAGTTCTTTCGTGCTTCTTCTTTTTCATCTGGCCTGGGAGAAAGAGAAAAATGCCTGACTCATAGAATGGCAGAGGCCTGACTCACATGTTCGCACTGGGCATTTTGCAAAATCAAATGCTGTCTTACATATTCGAATAGGGCCACACAACCAAACGCCAGGCAGGAGCTCATATCTCATGTCCAAAATACACAAGCAGATGAATGTGTGGACCAACTGCACTGAGAAACATTACACAATAGTTGGCTGCTGGTGAGAACAATTAGGCACAGTTAGCCAAATGATACACTTGCATGTGAGAATCCGCCTCAAGGGTGCAACCCTCATTTCAAGCTTAGCTCTTTTTCTGTTGTACCAGTTTAGTCTCTATCTGGTGAGTGGATGGATGTCCCCAATGATTTGGAAGAAAGATTGCGGTACACCAGTCTTTGCTGTGTATTCACTTGTTGGTACTTGGTTGAGCTGGACAGGGAGGAGGTCACGGTCAGATCTGAGAGGAACCATAGCAACAACAGAAGCAGCAATGATGATGGAGATGGGATTTGGTGAGAGTAATCTCAGAAAGCAACTTTGTGTTCATTTCTGTGTGAAAAACTGTCCAGTATTGGTCGAGTTTAAAGACAAAGCGTTTGAAGGAGGATGAATAAGCTTTGATGCTTTCCCATCTCCCTGTAGTACCTAGACAACTGATGGAGAAAATGTTCAAGTTATCTAGGCAGTGAGATGCATTTCTATGGAAATGAGAGGACATGTATCAAGACAGATACATCAGCCCAAGCAGTTTTGAGGCACACTTTGTCTCATCCCTTCCCAAGTGAGGTTTGGAGACAAGCATACATGACCAATTTACGGGTGTCCTAAGAGAAAGTATTGCTCTGTACCATTTGAAAGTCACTTATTGACTTACTGCTTCAGGTTGATCACTGTCTAATACTGAGAAATGATCTGCTTAGCAACAGACAGAGCTTGGTGTGAGGCAGGAATCCACAGCACCAATTACTAATTTGGTGGGACCTTGGAAGTCATCTGGTCCAATTTTCTGCACAGGGAGGAAGATTGAAATCCTTGGTATCTGACAGCCAACAAGCTTTCACTTCATTGCCTCTAGTGTACAAGAGCCCACTACTACTCAAGGCATTATTCTGCCATCAAAGAGCAGTTATTGTTAGTTGTTTTTCCTAAAGCCTAACTAAAAATCAGCTTCCCTTTTATTTCCATCCATTCATTCTGATTCTGTCCCCCAGAAAACAGGGAACACATCTGCTCTCTCTTCTCTGTGATAGTCTCTCCTATATCTGAAGATCGCTACTACTTTTTTTCCTTAATGTTCTGTTCAGGCTAAACAAACCCACCACTTCTAAAAGCTGAAAAAGAGTGAAATATTGATCTGAAAAATGTAAATAATAATAGGCAAGAGGTTGTGCAGAATGCCACTGACTAGAGACCAGCCATCCGAAACCAGAGATGTCAGATTAGTCAGAACTGTGACAGTGATCTGTTCCCACAGTGGTTTTGAAATCATAGCCAAGGGTTGTATGTAAGAATGCTCCATGCCAGGGTACCACACCTTGGTGGAAATTAAGCTCTGCCTTGCTAACACTCTGTTCATTTGATTGAGTACAACTGAGCTCTCAATGGCCAACACATTCCTGAGTAAAAACTCATAATTAATTCCCTAAGAATGACGTGGGGATTTCTACCTTTGTTTAATGTTATCTTGCCTCTGACGGTGAAGCCTTCTGCTCTGCTTGGTTGAGATATCCTGAGATGCTGTGGAATGTTACAGAGTGTAAAATGTTCCAACTATGGAATAGGAGTCAGAAGAACCAGCTTATGACATGAGGCAGCAAAAATCTGAAGCAGGAAGGCTGATCCATGTGATTTGTATGTCTGCTTGATTGGAGAATCAATCCATGGAAGGATTCTGCATATAAAACAAGCCTCCTTCTGGCTTAATTCCATAAACCGTGGTTATATTAATCATAGCTAAGATTGTCATGAGATTACTGGCCTGGCCTTTAAAAAATAATATGAGTATGTACTAACCTCTGTTGGATCATCTCAAAACCTTTCCAGCATTCTTTTCCCCAAAGGTGACTGACCTTCACCAATAAATAACACTAAAACAAATTTAAAATCAGAAAGTTCAGTTGTCCCCATTGCTAACTCTCAATTCTAGATTTTGAAAATTGCAATGTATGTTGCAATTTGCAGCTTCAATTCGAGAATTTAAAATTATGTGTAACTACAACTTGGGGCATAGGCTTTGTTACAAAAAGCAGTTTGCCAAACTTAAAAGGACAATACCAGGATTGTCTTAAAACAACCATCACCAAGATATTGGAAATGATTTATAATTTCCAAAACTGTTGAGCCCTTGGTGCTCTCTGAGCTTGGTTGTTTGCTTTGCAAATGTTTCATAACCCAACGAGATAACATCATCAGTGCAGATTTCCAAAATATTGTTTCCAACCATTTATTTGCGGGGGGTGGTGGTGGTGGATGGGATTGGTATTGTACAGGAAATGGCTGAGATTGCAAATATGGGTTCGGAATTCAGCAGTTGCTCTTGTCCTTCTTTCAGATCGATGACCCTGGAAATGGTCTGGAAGAAATGATGCCAGAAGCTGAGATCACAGATGCAGTGGATCATCTGGGAAGAAACCAGGCCCTCAGGGAAGACTATGCAGACTCTGGCTATGAGAGGGGGACCCTAAACCCCAGCTCTCTTCATAAGGATGATCATCAAGTTGCCACCCACACTCTGACCAATGCAGTGCCAGTCTCCCCTCCTTTCCAGGAGCTTTGGCACTGGGAAGTTGAGAACCTTGTCAGACAAGGTTTGGCTCCTCACTGTCAAAATGGGAAAGATCTCTATCTCCTCTCAGGAGCAGTGCCTTCTGCAGTCAAAGTAAAAGACAAAGTCGCGGTGCCCAAGTTTCTCTGGCTGGCAGCCTGCTGTGACAATGGTGCTGAGACCTGGTCAGTGGGATTTATTAAAGAGGCAGGTGTTGAGAGTCGTCTGGAAGACCTGACGGTAGAAGCCCTTGAGAAGAAGTTTCCTGCAGGAGTTGAGCTCTTTAAGAACAACTGTGGTCAAGATCGGCAGGATCCTAAGAAGCTGGAGACAGTGTTGCACTCTGTGAAGGAGGTCCGGGCGAAGGAACCAGAACTGAGTGTGAAAACAGCCACTCCAAGTAAACACACCGACGCTGCAGAGAGTGGCTTTCTGAAGAAGCTTTTTCATTTCATTATTAGCCCTCTCTTGAAACTGCTAAAATTTGCTTTCCATCTGGTTATCCAACTTGTGAAATGTGTGTGGCATTTGCTAATGTACCTTGTCCATAAGGTTATCGAAGCAGTGTACACATTCATCAAAGGAATTGCCACTGTCTTGCTGGATATCTTTATCAGTGTGGCCCAAGTGGGTGTCAGCATCCTGAATGGCATTGCAAAAAACATCTACAATGTTCTGATGGTGACATACAGGATTCTTAGCGTCCCCGTTAATCTGATCCTGGATATTGTGTCTTTCCCTCTTTACACCCTGGGTGCCATTCCTGCTGTCCTCCAAGATATTGCTTCAGGCATCGGTGGCATGTTCTTATTGGCCATTGATGCTACCACAAATTTGGTGAAGGGCCTAAACTATGTTGTATCTTACCTAGCCAAAAAGATTCTACCCACAACTGCTTTCTAAGAATGACTCCAAAGATTATCTTCCGAAGCAATACTTGTCCTCCATATTGTTTATCTTCAGCTGTTCTTATACGTATTTATTGTGGTGACATTTCCAGTGATGAACCAATGTTCTGGTAACATGGGTGAGCTACATAAATCTGAAATGGGAATTTAATGGTAAATTAAAATTGCACTTATAAAATGTTGAACTTGTGGAACTGTTGAACTGATTAGCTTCCTACCTTGTGTCCAGCCTTTTGAAAAACATGAAGCACACTGAATCTCAGATCCTCTTGACTAAAACATTTAAAAATGTGAATATTGGTTTTTTTTTTTTTTTTAGCAAACAGATTCCCCCAAATCCTTTGGCTCTCTGGATAACCCAGCAGCCTCTAGTTGTGTTGGACTGCAACTGCCATCACTCTCAGCCGGAATAATCATCCACTGTGCTGGGTAGGAATTTTGGATGTTGTAATCCAACTCCTCTGGAATACATTGGGATAGAGAAGGTTGAGTTTTAGAATATGGAAAGGATTTTTCTGTGGGTGGGAATGGTTTTTCAAAGATGTTAAGGAATTGTTTTGTAAGTCATGGTCACCTTAGTACAATGATACAGGTTTGAATGCACTGACCCCACATTTAATGCCACTTAAAATATAAGTGTGGTTAGGGAGTAGCCTGTCTGTTTAATACTCCAATTACTGAGCCATAACCACTAATCTAACCTGGGTTAACTCATAATAAGTTGTAAATTATGCTTGCTTCATTGTCTTCAAAGCAAGTGACAGAGATGATGCATTCGGCCGTATTTTAGGAACCCCGCAACTAATGTAATAAATTTCCAGTGTGAAGAAGTACAGATGGCAAAGAGATTTACCTAGTTTCTTAGTTAGATCTCACATTGGGCATGAATTAGATTCACACATTGTGGTAAGCTTCTGGTTGCTTAACTGGCTAATTGAATAAAACACAATTATTGTACCTTGTTTCACACAACAGACTAAGCCCTAAGGTATAGTTTTCAGACTACAATGGCTGGGTTCGCATAAGATGCTAAATCAAAGTCAAACAAATCACCTAGGGCTTGATCATGGACAAAGTAAATAATTGCTGTGGATGTCTGGTAGAAGCCACCATGATGTCACACATGCCATGATGTCATCATGCAAATGATGTTACTTGTGTAATTAGCACCATATGCATGACGACATCATGGCATGAGGCCCAGTATCAAGTTCAGACCATTCCCCTCAAAAATGTAGAGTAGGTGAGGAGAGTATTGAGCAAATACACAGGATTACATACTACATTGAGCCAAATAATGTATGTAAAGTGTTAGGTACTATTCATGTATTACTGCTGTGTATATTTTGGTACCATATGCTGTATTCTTTCCAGGAGTTTATAGTTTTCTGATTTCTGGTTCTAAAGTCTGTCTCTGGGTGGCTTACAAATAAAAAGACAGTATATATAAAAAAGAACCCAACTAACCAGAAGAACAGAACAGCAATAAACCAACTGTAATGCATGGGTGCTCCGCAATCACCCTGTCTCCAAGGTGTGGGAGCTTTTGTACAATTTCCTAAATGATACGAGAGAGAGCCCATTTGGTGTAGTGGTGAAGGCACCAGGCTAGAAACTGAGAGACTGTGAGTTCTGGTCCTGCCTTAGGCACAAAGCCAGCTGGGTGACCTTGGGCCAGTCATTCTCTCTCAGCTCTAGGAAGGAGGCAATAGCAAACTACTTCTGAAGTCTTGTCAAGAAAACTGCAGGGACTTGTTCAGGTAGTCACCAGGAGTCAACACTGACTTGAAGGTGTGCGCACACACACACACACACACACACACACAACATAAAGATGGGAGCTACAAAAATCTTGGGGGGGCATATTCGAAGGGGCAGGTACTGCAGCAGAATAGATGTGCAAATCCAGAAATCAAGTCATGTGGTGATCAAATCCAGAAATCCAGTCATGAGAATGAGTGACTGAAGGGCCTCTTGAACCAGAAATGGCACTATTGGTGCATTAGATGTACTTGTGCAAAGGCCGTCTTGGCTACAGCTGCCATCTGCTCTGAGCAGAGGTGAGAGTGCAAGAGGATCTCTAAGTTGTGCACAAGTCTTGAATGGGGAAGTGCAACCCCACTGAAAGTCAATGGAATATCTCCAGATGTGGGGTGCCCAACTAGACACAGCCACTCAGTCTTGTCAGGATTGAGCTTGAGCTGTTCCTTCCCATCCAGATCCGCACAGTCTCCAGACGCTGGGTTAGGACTTTGACATGCGTGAGCAATGCTGTCTCTGCACTGAGCCCTGGCTTAAACCCCACCTGAAATGGCCCAAGTCATCTGCTTTCTCCAGAGTCTTATGGAGCTGAAGCCCAATCATCCTCTCCACTTTTTCAGGAAGGTTGGAGCTGGATGGGTAGTACAGACCAGGTCAGCCACCTCATCCACTATCAAATCGTGCACGAGGACAGATTTATTATAGACCGACCTGGCGTTCAACAGCAGCAACCAGAGCCCGGGGCTACCACGTAACTTGAATGTGTGGGGAGATCCTGAAGGCTGGATGTCAGGATCACTCTGAAACAGCCCAGTGTACCTAACGGTATTCTGTCCCCAGGATCCCACCATCTCTCTCTGCCCATCAAGGTCCTGATGTTCCAGCTTGCTCTCCCACGCCCCCCCCCCCCCCTTTTCACAACCCTCTGCCCTATAGAAGAATGAGATGTAACTGGCTAGAAAGCCAAGGTGCCAGTCCCTGAGTCCAAAAAAGGGAGCTAATGGACAAGCGTCCAACCCCAGTTCCGAGAATGGTCCCACAAACCCATCTGTGAGTATGGCACAGATTTGGTGGTAGAAGCACCACCCAACCCAGCATTGCCAACCTCAGTGTGAGTTCTTTCGAGTCCTCTTCAAAGTTTCTCACTCCCAGGAAAAAGCACTTTGGAGCCAAAGCATCAATCCGCACCAAAAATTCCACCCTGAGGCTGAGGAAGGGCAGTGGGAGATGGGCCAAACCTGTAGAGTTATAGCCAGCATCTGCAATATTGCAGGTAGCCCACTGACTTCACCAGGCTAGCCAGCAGTCAGGGACTCTGCCCAGTCCTCCCAATGGCAGCTGTCAGGAATGGTCTGAAGAGCAATCAAACTACATCCAACCCCAACCCTCTTGGCTCTCTGATCCCAACACACCACTGCACTTAACATCCCAAATACATCATCCCAGCCTTTCATAACTGGATACCTTCCAAATACATTGATTACAACTCCATTTTCTTCCATATTCCAGAGTAGCTGGATTCCAAAACAGAAAGATTCTGATTGGGAAAATCAAGATTAGTACAATATGTATAGAGGGGAAAGTTGGGTCTGTCCTTGAAGGCAGTTCAAGAATCATTAATATGAAGTGGAACAGCTATATTTCTATCTGGGATTGAGCATATGGAATGTATTTGGCCAGTCCTTCAGACAATTGTGCAGACTTACATCTTCATTCAGGGATTGTTACAGATTTTAAGGACCTCTAACTTGGAATATTGTTGCTGAAAGAAGAGGGTGACTGTGCAACCTTCTTCTCAGAGGCCACCCTATTCTATAGGTGAAGGGTTTCTGTTCCAAGTCTGGTTTTAAGATAAGGAACCCTCAGGAATGGAAAACAGTTGAAGTTGCCCACAAAGATGAAAACCTGCGGCCTTCCAGATAAGCTCCCAACAGCCTCAACACTATGGCAATGGTGAAAGAGGATGGCAGTTGAAGCCCTAGAGGAGACTATGCAGCACAAACTTCTGGTTATAGTTCTTTCTGACTATGCATTCTGTTTCTATCTAAATTATACTAAAGCCTTGATTTAATGGAACATTGCATGGAAGGCATGCCTGTTAAATCCAGATGCCCATTCGATCTGCATTGACTGATGCAAATGGCACTAAAAATCAGTTACATAATTATGCAATGCCATCAATTACCACAAATAAATGTAAATTATGTCAATTGTCCAGGATGCTTTGAAAACAATGGACTTGATCCATAAATTTAGGGGTAATGTTTCAATTATTGCATCTGAAGTCTGGCAAATCAAGGTTCAGGGAATCAAGGTTTTATTGAAATTTATAGGTATTCATGAATGGTGGCCTTGAAGATACCCCTTCAAGAAACAAAGTCTTTCTTAGTCTCTTCTGTCTGTTGAGATGATGCAGGACTGACAGTAGGGATTTTTCTTTTGAGATGTTTTATCTTCAGGAGGGTCTTCCCAGGGAGGGTCACAGTATGTTCTGTGCAGAAAGAAAGGTGTTTGGTATTCCCCAGGCTTTCGAAGACATATATAGTAATAAATTGCCTCTATTTCCAAAAATGTGGATCATGATGTAGACAAAACAGCACCAGCAATGCAAAAAAGGGAAGCATTAACTAATTCATCATGCAAATTCTATTCAATTCCCTGGATTTGCAGAAGACGTCTAGAAAAGCAGCACCTTCCCCCACAAGGTGTGCAAGCTTGGAGGGAAAGATACTGCAGAACTGGTGAATGGAGTGTTAAGCAGGCTTAGTGGCTTACCAACAGAGTGTTTACCAACAATTATGCAGCGTGCGCAGGGAGGAATATTTATGTATGGAAGCAGTGTTGGGAAGTCCAGAGTGGAGTGGAATGGAATGGAGTATCTTGGAAAAAGATTTGGCTGTCAGGAATAAGAGCCTAGACCCTAAACCAGTGTTTCTCAACCTCAGGAACTTTAAGATGTGTGGACTTCCACTCCCAGAATTCCCCAGCTAGCATGGCTGCCCTAAACTGTTTTCCATTTCTAGAGCTCTGCTATCTTTGGCAGTCCCCCTTGCTATTTTTATTCTGCATTATAGTGGTTTCTTAAAATCTATGTAAGTTTTTAAACTGCTGCAGGACGTTTTAGATGAAGAACAGCACAGAAATTCATCCATTAAGAAAATAAACAGTATTTCCTCTAGGGCAGTGTATCTCATACTAAAATGGACCCCGCCTCTGCAGGAAAACGCTAGGATGAAGTGCATCTCATACTTTATACAATTGTGGACCACTAAATAAAAGTTAGGAAAATGCAAGGAAAATGCAACCCCCCCCCCTTGCTGCTTTTTCCTCTTGTACAAGCACAGGAGTTTACTTTTGGGGGGCAGCTAAGACAATGATTATTGATATTCCCATCCCCTCCATTTCTGAAGGCCTTTTTAAA